AGAGAACATATTTCTCACTCACCTTTATGTTCAGGTCAACAAGGGGTGCGTGTTGCTGCTCAGAGTGACTAAGGGACCGAGGCTGTTTCTGGTTCTGAGCTCTTAGAGTTACTTCATCTGCAGCACATTTCTGGTTGCACACTGGTTCTTCTATGCTTTACTGGAGGTGACTCATTGGCCATAACTCATCTTCTGACCCTGCATAAGTGTAAGGGAGCTTAGAAACATGGGGGTGGGATGGAACATTTATCTTCATGGTTTCAACACACTTAGCATGTTCCCAGCACATGATAGGACATGTATGCTATCCCAAATCAAGTCAGAAGGAAATTTCTCTGCTCCTAAATAGTTGGAAAAGGAAGCCTACAAGAAAGGTAAAGCTGGAAATTATTCACATTGGTAAGGACAGATCTTCATCAGTAATAAACTATTGTAGTAGGAAAAATAGTAAAGTAAACTCAACTTCAATTTGTACAAAAGTGACTGGACAATTTAAAGAATCTATGAGAAATGAGAGAGCAGCCAGGGGATCAGTCCCATCTGGACTCTGAATAAGTGCAAAAGCAGGAAGGGGGTTGGATCATGTAAAAGGCAACTGAAATTCTTACCTCTGCTTTATCACCATTTTTTTTTTCTTATCCTGTTGGGGAACGCTTTACTCTGTCTGCTCTCAGGTGATCTTCAAGACTTACTCCCTCCACCAGCCTGTGAGCCTTTTCTTGAGGAGTACGAGGCAGGACTGAGTGTGGGAAAGAAGCAGATGGGAGAGTCCACACACCAACAGTGAGAAGAAAGAGACAGTAAAAGGGTAACAATTCGCTTTGGATGTGTTCTGTTCACAGCCTGCAGGTCCCGACTCCCCAGTGCTTCATTCAAACTGCATGAGAATAGACAAGTCAGAGAGGGAGAAAGCATTTAGTTCTTAAGAGGAGAGGCATTAAGAGTTAGGGTGATGGTGAAGAAAAAAAGAGTTCTGAGAAGGAGAGAATGGAGAGCTCCTGATAAGGGTGAATCCAGCACCTCTGTGGCACATCTGAATAATGTGAGGTGCCCTGCACACTCAGGCACCTGAGGCTCCTTTCTCTTTCACCCTATTGTCAACATTTGCTCATGGTGATCTCACTCCACAAATTCTATTTGAATAATGTATGCTGGTGCATTTGGGCTGAGATTTTTATTTTAGGCCTGTGGCCAAGGAGCAGTGAGCAATTGCAGGACAAGATACAAGAGAGTCTCTCTCTCTCACACACACACACACGCACACACGCACACACGCACACATGCACACACGCAAGCACAGTAGGAAATAAGACCTTTCTTTTTACAGGCAGATTTCTGTGATGACCACATTAAAAGTAAGTGACAACTTGGTGAACACATTTCAAAGGCGAAAAGAGTGACTAAGAATAATTTGTGGTTTTCAGATATTTTTGAAATTCAGCCCATGGTAAGAAATACATTTCATATTACGCCCGTATAGCCTTGAACAATTGAAGCACATTATCACACATGACAAACTTAAATTCACAGAGTGTGATACTGTCGATATATTATTTTACATTACATTTCAATTAAAAATATATTTATCAGAAGTAAACAACATGCTCTACAATCATGAATGGGTCAAATAAGTCAAAAGGGACATTAGAAAATATACTAATATGACTGAAAATGAAAATACAATATACAAAATTTGGAAGACAATTAAAGTGAAACTTACAGGAAAGTCTGTAAATGTAAATATTCATATTAAAAAAGAATGATCTCGAGTCAGTGATCTAAACTTACATGTGAAGACACTGAAAGAGGAAGACCAAGTAAAGGTTAAAGTAAGCAGAAGGAAGAAAAGAACCATGGCTGCAGGAGATACCAATGAAATAGACCATGGGAAAAGAAAAAAGAGCAGAACACCAAAACTAGGCTCATGAGAGATTAAAAAACTGACAAATACTTAGCTAGACCACAGAGAGATAAAGAGAGAAAAGACACAAATAACTAAAATTAAGAATTAAAGATGAGACATTACTACCATCCTCACACATAAAACTATTTAGAGAAGAATACTGTGAAGAATGGCATGTTAATATATTAGATAATGTACATGAAATGGACAAACTCCTAGAAACAAATTGTAAAAGCTGAGTGAAGAAAAAATAAATCACCATAATAGACCTATTACAGGTGAAGTGATTGTATTAACAATGAAAAACCGCTCCATAACAAGAAAAGATCATGTCCAGAAATTGTAATGAAAAATACTATCAAATATTTGGAGATTTACCATCAACTGTTCCCAAATTATCCCAAAGATAGACATTGTAGAGATGCTTTTCCACTCATTCCCTTCATCAGTATCACCATGATACCAAGATTCTACGAAGACATTACAAGCAAAGAAAAATTCAGAAGAACGTATTTTATAAGTATAGCTGCAAAATTAGGTAAAAATATAAAAGTAAATAGAATCAAGCAACATATAAAAATAATTACACCAATGATACCAAGATTCTACGAAGACATTACAAGCAAAGAAAAATTCAGAAGAACGTATTTTATGAGTATAGCTGCAAAATTAGGTAAAAATATAAAAGTAAATAGAATCAAGCAACATATAAAAATAATTACACCCCATGTCAATGTTTCATATATCCCAGGACTACATGTTGGTTGACAGAAAAACATATATTAGGATATCCTATGTCAATAAAATAATAAACAAAACCACATGACATTTCAACAATTGGACAAAACAAATTTGACAAAATCCAACATCCTTCTATGAGGAAAACGTTCAAAAAGTAGGAGTACAAGGGAACATCCTCAAACTGATGAAGAGCATATGAAAAATCCACCGCTCACACTATTTTTAATAGTGAAAGTTCATATGCTTATTTTCTAAGATTAGTAGAAAGATAAACAATCCACTCTCGCCACATCTTTTCATCATTGTACTAGTCAGAAAAACTGGCAACAAGTAAATAAAAGACATCTGGATTGGAAAGAAAGTACAATTTTCTGTACTTTCATTTGACATGTTTTTGTATGTAGAAAACCATAAAGAATTAATGAAAAACTGTTAGAGTTCTGAAAAGTAACAAAAGACAAGACCAATTTACAAAAACCTATCATATTTATGTACACATAAATAATAGAAATATAAAATTGAAGATCAATTCTAGTTACAGTAGAATCAAAATAAAGTCCTTAGAAATAAGTTTAACAGTACAAGTGTGTACTTGAACAGGTAAAGCTACAATATATGGCTAGTGTGGAAACACTTAGGTATCATCCCTGAGCCTCATTTCCTAGGAGGAGAGAACTTTACCTTCCTAGGTGAAGAAAAGGGATTGCATTATTGGCCTTTATGTTAATACAGGTGGGCCCAGGGTTAGGTCTGAAAGTCCAAATGTGTATTACTGTCTCCATTTATATGGACAGGAGGCAGACATACAAAAGAGGTCGTGACAAACTATATCCAGAGTCTGAAAGATCAGGCAGTGACTCCCGCCACCCAATCCCTGCCAATCATCCTGTGTTTAAAGGATCCCTACATCCCCTACCAATAAGTGTTTAAGAGAGAGGCATGGGATTTAGGAGTTCAAGGATGGGGGTCTATAGAAAAGGTCTGAGACAAGAAGGCTGTGGGAAAATCAAGGCTGAGTTCCCTGGAGCTGCAATTAGAATCACTGAAGGGAAGTTGAAGAATCAAAGAAAACACAGGAATTTGAACAAGGCAGGAAATAAATTAGGAAAAGAGAAAACCAGGGATAGGTTTTAGGCATGACCTCAGCTTCTCACACATCCCATCCACATACCCCCAATGTTCGCCCGTCTTTTACTCTGCCCCACATTCTAACACGAAAGCCCATATCAATTCTACTCAAGCTAGGCATTTTTGCATTTTGGGGGGGGTTATTTTTTTGTTTGGTGTCTGGCCAGTAACGGGATCTCAACTCTTAACTTTTGTGTTATCAGCACCATGTTCTCCCAAGTGAGCTAATCAGCCAGCCCTATTTCCTGGCTTAAGAGGAATTTCAACACAGCAGAAACTTTGATAAGCCCGTGTAAAGATCTCCTTGCTTGTTTTGCTGCAGAAACCAGAGAATAAAAGGCAAAGTTCATGTCCACCACCACCACCACCACCACACACACACACACACACACACACACACACACACACACACAAACATACACACACACACACACACACACCAAATTACTAAAATTTGATTTAATAAAGTGACAGATGGGTTAAAGGAATGTGGGAATTTCTGGGCAATTAATCATCAGACACTGCAAGTGTAAATTGTCACAAGGATTAAGAAATGCACCTACCCTATGACCCTGCTATTTTATTTCACTATGCACTAGAGCAGTTTTTCTGACTGTGTAATACAGTGCATTGAGATACAGAAATTAGTTTACTGGATTAGAACAAATATGTCAATATTTTGAAAGAAAATTACCATGTCAATTTTTTGTTAACACATTCAAAATAAAATAGAGATATGATTTTTTCGTAGTTTAAAATGCATGTTTAAAAGGAGACATCGGTTCTATAACAGCTATACCTGGCCCCTATTTGAATTTCTGTTACTGCCACAGTGTCTCAGGTGGTCAAACCATCATCTAATAAAAAATCAGAATTCCACATCTGTGGCATAGAGACAAGTCTACTGCGTGGGTAGAAACCAGTCTTGATCCAACAAGGCCTGATGTCCTGGTAACAGTACTCCGTGCAGAGAAAATTTTTAAAATGTTCTTGATTGTTCCGTAAGGTGAGGCCCCAGGGTATTCTGGGAAATGTATTGTAACTGACTGTTAACGTCACAGGCAAGGATTATAGAATGTCTCGTGTGTTTCTTCTGCGCATGTGCATTCTCGCTCACCTGTCTATCTGGGAAATGTAGTTTTGCCTTGCCATGACGTCACCCTCGCAGGACTACTATGGGTCAGGATTTTCCGGATTTCTACTGCGCATGTGCGGCTCCGCTCAGTCCGCCATCTTTTGTGTGGAGATTGTGGACACTACAGCTGTCCCCACGGTGCTCCTCGGATCCTGAGATTGGATTGTAGTTCGCGAAAGGTAGGTGAGAGGGTGAAAGAGGAGCCCGGAGGGCCTCGAGGGCCCTGCGGGGGCGGGACGGGTGTCCCGGCACTTGTTGGGCAGAAGCGCCGCGGGAGGGCGGGGCCTGACGTGTGGCGCGAGCGCGGACCTGGGCCGGCCGGGGAAGGGGCGCCCGGGCTGCGCTTTTCAGGACCGCTCCGTCAGAGGACGGCGCTGCTGGGTGTGCAGAAGCCGGTTCCAGGTGTCCCAGAACGGGGGATGAAGTCCAAGTGGCTACAGAAAGGTGGGTGGGGTGTGAAGACAGCGAGCCCGGGAGGTGTGCGGGAGGCCACGTTCCAGCTCCGGCGTCAGGGAGCCTGGTACCGACCTATGGGACATTCACTTTATCCATCTGTAACATGAGCGTGTTGATATTTGTGGAATGCTCCCACATTCCCAGAAGAATAACTGTGAGGCGTGTGCAGACGGAGTGTTACTCTGTGGCGGTTGTGTTTGTGGGGTTTCTCATTGAGGTCGAGTTTCTGGTCCCTCCTGCACTGTGTAACCTGCATAGCGCTCCTGGTCTGAGTTTACAGACGTTGATATAAGATCAAGTTTTCAGGGACAGTGACTTCTACGAGGGACTTTGGGGCATGGGATGACATTCTGGTTTTGGGGGGGTACAGGAGCTGTGACAGAGTTTGAAGGAAGTCGCCCTATGAATATGATTAGGAATCCCACTTAGGAGAACATCACTGTGGCCTGAACCCTCTCAGGACTGCTTCAGAGCAGAGGCAAAGGAGTCCCAGGGAGGCGTAGCTTTCACAGCCCACGCAGTTATTCAGTCTCGTGCTTACAGTGCGCAAGAGTTGGCCGCATTCAGTAGCTACCTCAGAGTGGGTGATACTGGAAGGTTTGGGCCAACATTCAGAAAGGAGAGTGACTTTGAGAAGAATAGGCAAGAATGTAGGAAATGTTAATCACTGAAGGGGTTTTGAAGGTGTTTTTTGGATGCAGAAATAACCTGTCATAGCTGAGAGGATCTGTCTGCAGTGCTCTCTGAACACACTCCCATTCCTTCAATTTTCCCTCATTCCCAGTGTCTGAGCTCTTTTAAATGCAGTCTATCACCAATTTTGGCATCTGGAGATATGCTGATGGTGTTATATCTTCATAGTTTCTTTCTGGTAGTTCAGGAATGTTTTGCCTGGTGTTTCTGTCTTGGAAGAAAAGTGAAAATAATTGGATATGAGGAAATGTGAGTTGCCCAGGGTCACATGATTTGTTGATGTTAGACATCCTGACTTTTTGCCTATTCTCCATTTTGCCATACTTCCATCAAAACAAGTGTTTTTTCACTGTTGAAATTACTTTTGTAATGCTGAAGTCAACTTAGAACAATGTATGCTTTAACATACATTGACTTAAAAATCCCTACCTTTTTTTGATCTCCAGTGCTTTCTGTGGATCATGTCACCACAAAGAATAAATAACATAAGTACTTCCCTTAATGCCAGTATTCTGTTCTTGAAAATCACAAATTTTGCCTATATGTATATATGAGCCAATTTTACATTACTTAAATGGGAAAATTTGGATACTAGTGTGCTTCAAAAACTTTATGGAGAGATCTCTATCTACTTTTAGTTATATTTTTCCATAAACTTTTGAAAGTATCCTGGTCCAGTTCACTACTAACTTGTAAGAAACAGACCCTTTGTATGTTTTTAAAGTAAACAACTCCCACATGATATTTAAAAAAAAAAAAACCCAGAAAATCTTACAAGATAGTTTACTGATATGCAAACAGTTGCTTTTTATGGTTCACATGGCCTGCATTAGCACCAGGAACCGCAATGAAGTCTTGTTAGTTGAAATTCAATGTAATTTTCAAAACTTCTCTCTGTGATTGTGAAGGTATATTGATTATATTTGACATGTAATTTAAGGCTTTCTCCTCCACGTAATTTTGTTCAAAACCTATTGAGTTCTGGGGGCTTAGGTATATCATTTAGCATTTGCCATGTAAGGAACAAATCAAAACCCAAATGGCTTTAAAAGTCCAGCCATTTTATTTTCTTGAAATTCTAGGAATTCACATTTTGGGTGTGTTTAGCTGGGCAGTTCAGCTTTAGTCACCTGGTGCTTTGACTGAGCCTGGTTGTTGAACATGGCTTCACTCACATATCCTGTGGTTTGTGCTGACTCTTGGCTAAGCCCTGTGTCTCCAAATGTGTAGCCCCAGGCTTCTTCACACTATGATTGTGTTTAAGAAGGCAAGCACCATTGGCCAGTACTTGTCAAACTTAACTTTTGCATGACATTGGCTAATGTGCCGTTGGCCAAAGCCCAGTTCATTGTCAGAGCACACTACATGAGGGTTTGGGTGCAGGGAGATCCATCACTGGGTGACATTACTGGAATAGTGTACCAAAAGAAATATACATATTGTACATTTTTTACCTATAGAATCATGTGCAAAAGATGTTGGGTTCCAAGATGAATATTATACAGATACTTAGGTATATATAAATAAGATGTGTTGTAGTGGAAACACTTATCTGCAGTTGTGTGCGGGGTCATTATATTAATATTAAAATAGTTACTATAGCCTAACCATATTTCTATAGGATTAGTTTATAATGAGAGAATGTGTTTTTCTTTGGTTTAAATGATTAAGTTGTATGTTTAGGTAACGCTCATTCTTGCTAAATCAGTAGGTAATGTATGTTTTCATTAACCCAAAAATAAATTTTGTGTCTAATGTGTACCAGTTAATGCAGTTGCAGATGCACGTTTAATGGGTCTTTGTTGCACCTTATTGACCATAAAGGATTGTTGTCTCACAGGGAGGCTTTTTGTTTGTTTGTCTTTTCCAGCTAATGTGTAGAGAGTTTTGAGCAGGAAAATCCAGCATCAAGCCACAACAGTTCTCTCCTTAATCCACTGCAATCCCTCCTCGTCCAGCTAAACTGGCAGAGTGTGCTACAAAAGATGGATAAATCTCTGGTGAGTTGTTTTTTTATTTATTACTCATTTTTTTCACTGTATTACCTGGGTATTATGGGGAGCATGAATTAAAATGGAGAAGTAGAAAAATGAGTATGACTCAGCTTGAAGGAAATGTCCATAGGTAAGATAAAGTTTGCATGTAGATATAGCAAGATATAAGACTTCAGAGTCATCTAAGTTGAATAAAAATTTGTCTCTGGTCTTTCTGATGTCATGTCAAAAGTGCAGATACTTTTTTTACATGATTGTAATGGAGCCTGAGAAGAGAAAATGCCAAATTCTCGTTGGATATGAGGATTTATTGGCACTAAATTTTGAAATGCCATCTCTATTAGAGAGGTTTCGACTGCCAACCTGGAAATAGACACATAGCTTTCCACAGTGGAAATGGTTAGCAAGTGCTAAGGCACATGTTGCTGAATAAGCAGACTGTAAGGTTTCATGTAATTTAAGACTTTCTCACCCACATAATTTTGTAAAAATATACTGAGTTCTGGGGAGACTTACATGTATCATTTAGCATTTGCTGTATAAGAACAAATCAAAAAGGAATGGTTTAAAATATTAGGCCATTTTATTTTCTTGAAGTTCTGTGGATCCACATTTTGGGTGTACTCAGCTGAGCAGTTCTCATGCTAGCATTGCCTGGATGGTAAATGCAGCTTTAGTCACCTGGTGCCATGGTTGAGGCTGTTGATTCAAGATGGCTTCACTCACATGTCCTGTTGTTTGTATACAGGTTTGGAAGACTGTACTTGATTCATGGATAAACCGTTTAATTATCACTTAAATTACAGTGAAATCCAGTGCCTATTCTGTAGTCTTTTTCTAACTTGAATCTTCTGCCACATTTGAAACTGCTGTTCGTGATCTTCTCCTGAAAATTCTTCTGTGTTAGTTTCTCTCGTGCCCTTACTGATGGTTTTCTCTCTTTTCTTCTAAATTCTTCTCCTTTTTTCTTCTTAACATAGCTCATCAAAGTGCTTCATTATGAGTGCTATTCTTCTTGCTGTGCTCTTCTTGACTGATTCATTCCTCTGTAGTTTGCACTCTTGGTTCTATTTAGCTTCTTCCCTTTTCTACTTCTTCTCTTTTCCTTGGATCATAGGTTGGAACTCGCTGTTGACTGCTTTTTGTAGTTACCTTAAGGTCAATGAATCCAAAATGAAAATGATGTCTACTACTTTTCTCTTACATGTGGTATCACTACCATCCGGGCAGTGACCCAAGCCAGGGAAATGGGATGTTTCCTGGAGTCTTCCCTGTTTCTTGTGTCTAATCCTTTGTGGTGTCCATTCTTGCTTGTTTGCTTGTTCTTTTCATATTATTCTGATTTCTGTATACACTGCCTATATAGGGGAAGGAGGTGTTGGTACTTATAAAGACAATAACTTTGTTCCATTGGAAATATTCTTGTAAAGACCTGAAAGGCGTATTTCCTGGGTGATGAGGTTCAATCCCTGGTGACCTGTGCTTCTGACCAGCACGTGTGGTGACATCCTCAAGAGTCTGAGGGGAGAAAGCCTTCAGGAGTTAGTGGGACATTGATGAAGAGCCAATAAAAAGGCATGCAAAGAATAAAAACAGAAATTTCAGATTTTCATAATTTGTACATTTTGCTTCTACAAATTTATGTCAATGATTCTATATGTAGTTTTTCTTATTTTATAGTTGTGTGTTTCTAGTTCAAGAGACTTGTCATGTTTTTAAACTTTCTTATATATTGTATTTTATTCTTCTCCTATTTCAGGTAATCACTCAGAAATGAATGAGAAAAATGGATGTGTGCATTAGTCATCAGTATGTTTATAAACTAGAACCATAGCTCACAGTTGGTTAAGAAAGAAAAGTGACAAACTAGTTAAGTGAAAGTTGACATTCTCAAATAGAGTTTGAGATGTAACATAAGATGTCAAATGGTGGCTTTATTTATTTTGATCTTAATGTTCAGTGTGAACTTACATGCTTCCTGTTGCGTATCAGAGTACTGTCTATGGTCTCTAAGGACTTGTTTGGTGTTCCAGTGATCAGCCGTGTAACAAAGTGACACAAAACTTAGTTGCTTAGAATAAGAATTTCTTCCTTACTCCATGTTGGAAGGTTGTGGGTAAGTAGAGTAAAAGAGGAGTGTGGGTTGGCTGCTACATGATGTGTCTGGTCTCACTGGGAAGAACACTAGTGGCTGGGGACATTGGCAGACATTCAGCCCTCTCTTTGTGGCCATGTGAGCTTCCTCAGAGTCTGGTAGTCTCAGGGTAGTCAAGTTTGTCTGGCTTCTCCCAGGGCAATTGTCCAAGAGACCCAGGCAGAGGCTGTAAGGCTTCTGGTTATCTCTACTCAGATACCAAATCATGTCTCCTACCACATTTTCTTAGTCAAGCACATCACTAGGAGCAGCCCTGGTTCAAGAGGAAGGCAGTTAGATTCCACCTCTCAGTAGGAGGAATAGTAAGACTTCACAGCAGTCTTTAATAGACCACAGTTTGCCCTCTGGCCACAAGTTTCTACCACATGCAAAATATACTTTGCCCCTCTTAAGAGCCTTAGAAACCTTCTACTGTTTTACAGTTGGCTGAAAACTCAACTAAATCATGTCCAGTGGCCTGTTATTTTCATCTGCTGAAGGTGTGGCCAGCTCACATTGAGGAGAATGGCATAAACGTGGGCACTTCCCTTCAGAGAGGGTGGGTGGTAAGGGGCGGCACCATGCAGGCACTGGTCTAAACAGTCAGTTATGCCCATTGGGCACCTGGTTTAGTTCTTTGATTAGGGCTCCTTGTTGGTCTCTGGAAAAGATGCCTCCAACTTCTGTATTGTGCCCTCTGGGTTCTTCAGTTATGCCCATTGGGCACCTGGTTTAGTTCTTTGATTAGGGCTCCTTGTTGGTCTCTGGAAAAGATGCCTCCAACTTCTGTATTGTGCCCTCTGGGTTCTCACTATTTGTCAACATCCATTTTTCTTAAATGCCAGAGTTTGCAGATGACCAATTTCTTTGCCTATTTTGGGGTTATAATAGTTGAAAATCCAATGATCCTTCTAAAAAATTTTTTCTAATTCTTCCCTTTTGATGCAAGAAATTACCCTGTGTACATCTTTGAAAAGCATGGGCTTCCATTGTCCTATAATCCATTATGCCAATGCTACCTCTGTGTTAGGCCATTTTTTCTCTGGCCTCCCCTGTCCTCTGAGGCAGCTCTTTCTTAAGTTTTATTGTTTATCAGGCACTATCCGTGTATCACACCCTGTGGTAATTAGAAAACTGGAAATACTTTTGGTTTTCTGATTTCGTTTTTTTAACAAAACAATGTGTTTCTTGCCACAAAATAGTTTGTGTCTTTGAAAATATTTTGTTGGAAAAAACTTGGATTGAAAAGTAGTTTTATTTCAAACTCAGCAAGTTCTGGCTCCTTTACATTTTCTTTAAATTTTGTTTGAAAATTGAACATCTTTGTTTTATTGTTACTTAACTATTTGCTGACAGATGGCCTATGTGGGGATCCTAACCCTTGACCTTGGTGTTATCAAAACCGTGCTCTAACCATCTTAGTGATCTGGCTATCCAGCCTTCTTTAGTTTATCTCCCTTCTCATATTTTCTCAGTGACAGAGAGAGGAGACCAGGTAGCACTTTTCCCATTGTTCACAGAATTCTCCTTTGGTGGACCCCTGAGAGGTTGAGATATACTTTCCATTTTCTGTGCTGTTTTAGGCAATAATGTGGCCCACATCCTTCAGTGCTCCATTTATTTCTGGTAATATATTTTCTGCTGATGCTTCTTTTGGCTAGTATTAATATTTCCACTTAAGATTTTCATAGTTAGTGTTTGTGCAGTATTTTATTTTCATTTTTATTTTTTACTTTTCAGTCTGTTTGTGTCTTTGTATTTAAAGTATATGTCTCCTAATAGCATATCATTGGGTCTTACTTTCCCATCAAATATGATAATTTTTGCCTGTAGTAGAATATTTAGGTTAATTCCATTTAATCTAATTATTAAAAAGGATAGATTTAGGTCTGCCATTTTGCGATTTTTGTTGTTGTTGTCTCATCTACCTTTTAATTCTTTTCTTTTTTCTTTCCCTAAATTTTTTTTCAGTTAATCAAAAATTTTTAAATATTTTAGTTTGTTCTGTCAGTTTTTTAAATATGTATTTTAATTTTAGTTTTGGTAAGGAAAAATACACATAAAAAATTTAGCATTTGAACCATTTTTTACATTTAAGTAGTGTTATGTATATTTTACAGTGTTGTGCAGGAGATGTCCAGAACTTTTTATCTTGGAATGCTGAATATATCCATTAAATGATAACCCTCAATTTTCCCCTCCTTGTACCTTCTGGCATCTGATATTCTAGTTTAGTTTCTCAAAATTTGACTCATATTAGTGGGACCATACAATACTTGTGATTTTGTAAGTGGCTTATTTCACTTTGCATAATGTCCTCACCATTACTTGGTATAACATGTCAAGATTTCAATTTTTTTTTATGGCTGAATAATATTCCTTTCTATGTATGTACCACAATTTGTTTATCCATTCATTCATAGACAGACGTTTGGGTTGCTTGCACCACTTCACTGTGTGACTAATGCTGCTATGAACACTGGTGTGGAAATATCTTTTGGAGATTCAGCTATTAATTATTTTGGATATACACATTGAACTTGGACTTCTGAATCACATGGTAATACCATTTTTAATTTTTTGAGAAGCCAGTGATTTTTTTTTTTTAATGGTACAGGGCCAGCACCTTTGTACATCACCGTGCACAGCATACTAAAGTTCCAATTTCACCAAACCTCTCATTCTCTGTTGAGTGTGAGGCAATATTTCATTGTGTTTTTGCATTTTCTGATGTTTAATGCTGTTAAGCATCTTATCATGTCTTTGTTAGACATTGGTATATCACGTTTGGAGAAATGTCTATTCAGTTTCTTTGCTATTTTTTCGTTGGAGGGTGGGGTTGGGGTGGCTGCCTGGTATGGAGAACTGAACC